TGTATGTTATGTTTCTTTTTAGAACTTGGATTTTGAATCATTTCAATCTAAAGGAGGTGTCCTTTGAGAGCCGGGTAACCATTTGTAATTTTCTTTTATTGAATTTTATACATTAAACGTTTAATGGAATAAAATTCAAATTCATTACTTTACATAAAATATCTTGAAACTTTTTTTTCAAAAAATTATTTTTCAGGAATTCATCAATTACATTGAGAAGAGTAATGGAAACAAGATTGGAGTTATGTATATTTAAGTATTTCTTTTTTTATTTATAATAGATTTACAAGGAAGAGCGCAATAGGACTTGTCTTTTGGCATTCAATAAGAATTTAATTATTTAAAATTTTATAATCTTAATTTTGTCTAGAGTTGGATATTTTTTTTTTTTTATAATTAACAGTGGTTTTTCTATATTTTTTTTTTGGTTTTTTAATTATGTAGTGAAGAAAATGTGCTGACTTTTAATGATGAATTCTCATTTAACTATTTGATGTAGGATTATTTATGGTTCTTTGGCTGATCTTTTTTATGACTTTTGCTAGGTATAAGTTTGATGAACTGTTGGCGTTTGGTGTTGGATATATTTTTTGATGTTTATGAGTCTTAAATCATGAATTTTTTTTTTTTTTTTGCTTATAGGTAGGGTTGAACAGCTGGTCATTTTTTTTTGCCTTATTATAATGACTTTTTTATTAACTGTTTGTTAACTTGTTGATTTATTGTTTTTCTAGTTTTTGTTTTATGATTAAGATAGGTATATGTTTGATGAATATTAGGCGTTTTGGTGTAGGATATAATTTTTGTCTATTTTATGATAGGTATTTCTTGGTTTATTAAATTGTTTAAATGTTTTGTACTAAGTGTTGAATAGTATTTAAGTATTGGTTTTTATTTTGGTATTATCTTTTTACAATTTGATGTCTTGTTGATTTATTGGTCTTTGGTTTTTGATTTAAGATTATTGATAGGTAGTTGTTTGATGTATATTTGTAGTTTTGGAGTTGTAGGTATATATTTTATGTGTATTTAAATGATTGGTAATTATTACATCTTATTGGTTGTTTGTAGGTAGGGTTGAACAGCTGGTCATTTGTTTTGGCTTCTAATTAGTGATCTTCTTTATACAGTTTCATATCTTGTTGAATTTTTTTGTTCTTTTGGTTTTTAATTTAAGATTATTGATAGGTAGTTGTTTGATGTATATTTGTAGTTTTGGAGTTGTAGGTATATATTTTATGTGTATTTAAATGTTTGGTAATTATTACATCTTATTGGTTGTTTGTAGGTAGGGTTGAACAGCTGGTCTTTTTTTTTGACTTCTAATTAGAGATCTTTTGACGAAATGATGTCCTCTTGATGTGTTATGTTTTTGGTTTTGTTTTAAGATTTTTAATAGGTATTTGTTTAGTGTACTGTTGGCGTTTTGAAGTTGTTTATATTTTATGTGTATTTTTACGTTTGATATTTCTTTTGTACTATTTCTAGGATTTTTTTAAGGTCGTGTCGAATAGTATTTAAGTTTTGGTTTTTATTTTGGTATTATCTTTTTACGGTTTGATGTCTTGTTGATTTGTTTTTTTTTTTTTTTGTATATGTTTTAAGATTTTTGATTCGTATTTGTTTGATGTATATTTGGCGTTTTAGAGATCTATTTATTTATATTTTATGAGTGTATTAATGTTTAGAAATTCTTACTTCTTTTTGGATGTTTTTAGTTAGTGTTCAACTAGGTATGAACGGCTGTTCATCACCATTGGTTTTGAATTTTGGAATTTCTTTAACTCTTTGATGTTGGTCTGATTTTTGTTGTTCGGCATTTTTTTCGTGAGATGTTTAGGTATTTGTTATCCCCCAGGGGAACACGTTCTTACGTGTTTACGGGTCTTAGCTAACCCGGGGTCCTGTACTATTTGTTTGGTTGTCTATTGTTAGGAATGATCAACTGTTCAACTTTTTTTGTTCGAATTAGGGAACTGTTTTATTTATTTGATGTAGGTCTGTTTTTTAGTTTTTGTGTTTTTTATTTGATGATTTTAGATAGGTATTTATTTGTTTAATGGATATTCTTTTTTATGGTGTTACATATATTTGTTATCAATTTTTGCTACCAAATAGAAATATAATTTTTAAGTTTTAGGTATGTTTTATTCCTTGGCTTTTTTTTTTTTTTGTTATTTTTTTTAGATATTAATTTGATGGATTCTTCTATATATGATATTCAATATATTTATTTATTTTTATGAAAGGTATTTTTTGGTTTTTTTTTCAATTATTTATTAAGTTGTGTTCAATTGTATTGATTTTTATTTTTTTTTACAGAACCTGGATTTTTTTTTTTGTTAAACCAGGGATTCTTCGGAAGCCAAGTTGCCATCAATTTAAATTGATCTGTTTAATTTTGTTTCAAATTATTTAGATTTTAATTCATTTATTTTTGTTTTTTTTCAGAACTTGAATTTTTTTTTTTAGACTGACCCAAATCAATTTTCCTCCGGGAGCCGGGGATCCCCTTTTCGTTTCTACTTTTGAACCTGACACTTTGAATATTTAATGGTATTATAATCAAATTGATTTAATTTACATAAATATTTTAGAAATTCAAAAGAGTGCAGCAATTCAAATACCTTGGCACACTAATTACACAGCAGAATGAAATAGGTACGGAAATAAAAGCAAGATTACAAGCTGCCAATAAATGTTATTTTGGCCTGACAAAGTTATTAAAATCTAGAGTAATCTCGAAAAATCTGAAGTCCCAAATATACCAGACACTTATCAAGCCAGTGGTGACATATGGGTCAGAAACTTGGACCATGAGGAAAAACGACGAAAATGCTCTTTTAGTGTTTGAAAGAAAGGTACTGAGAAAAATCTATGGACCATGTAAAGACGAACATACAGGTGAATGGATAATACGTAAAAACAAGGAACTTCAGGATTTGTATCAAAGACCAATCATTAAAGAAGATATCACCAAAAGAAGACTGAAGTGGGCAGGACATTCTTGGAGAAAAACAGGGTCATTGATAAAAATAGTACAAGAGAATGCACCAAAAGGAAAACGACCACTTGGAAGGCCGAGGTTACGCTGGGAAGATAGGATCAAAGAAGACATAGAGAAAGTGAGACCAGGATTGGATTGGAAAGAGTTAGCTTTAGATAGAGAAACTTGGAGACAAATCTGTTGGACGACATGGTCTTGAAGGCCGAAGTCATGGAAGAAGAAAAAAAAAAAAATATTTTAGATCTTTTAAATCGTATGACTACAATTATTTAATTATAATTAAATCCTAATAGGTATGTTTCGTTTCAGAACTTGGATTTCTTACGTTTTAACCTAAAAGAGATGTCCTTTGAGAGCTGGGTAACCACTTATAATTTATTTTGGTTGAATTTTATACATTAAATATTTTATGGAATAAAAATCAAATTCATTTAATTTACATAAAATATCTTGAAACTTTTAAATCATTTGATTAAAATTAACTAATAATAGTTAACTCTTGATAAATCACTCCCATAAATAAAAAATCTAATTCAATTTAAAGTAATCAATCTAATTTTGTATTAAAATATTCTAATTTGAATTCATTTATTTTTATGTGTTTGCTCTCTGTTTCTGAAAATGTATCATTGTTTTGACAGGGTTCATTATTATATTGAGCTGCATGATATTAAATACACCTATGTGAATACTTTTATTGGATGTCTTTAAACCATTGAGAATTTAATATTTTAATGTTAATTAAATATTATGCTACCTATTTTAAATCTGAATCTGAGCGAATTGCGTTTATGTTTTAATACAAGTAGGATATTCATAGACAGTTTTTCAAACCATTTATCGGTTAATATTTAGTTGATTTTTTTTCCCTTTCTTATTAACATTTTAATTGAAATGTCAAAAAGTGAAAACATTTAAAAACTTTTATTCTTCGTCAATCACGGAAAAGTTTAAACTTATTCTTGCAAACAAACTCTCAATATTTTAATTATATGAGAAAAGTTTGCGACTAATTTATTTTTTAATAAATTATATTCTGGTCGACAGAAGTGGAGAAATTCAGAATTATTTAAGCCTTAGGATCTATCTCAAATTGCAAGTCTGTATAATCTGCAAGTCATCAAATATATGATAACAACATTTTTTTGACATAACTAAGTCATCGTTAGTTAAATCACAGGTCGTTAAATTTGTGAATTTAATTTTTTTTTTATGTTTTTAGATAGTTATAAACATATGTCTCTTATTGCTTAACAATTTGTTAATTGTTTATTAACAATTCGTTAATTGTTTATTAACAATTTGTTAATTGTTTATTAACAAAGTTAATTAATTAACATTATAATTAGTGAAATCCAATGCTTGCAGGAATTATGTGATTTATTGTTCATCGAAATGACACCTATCAGTTCAGTTTCCGAGCACAAGTTTCTAGTCATGGTAGATTTCTCTGTTTTAATACTTATTACCAGTTGCATAATTGTGGTAGGGCAAGGTTCCCCCTTGGCAATTTTTTGAGAGATAAATGTAGAAATTTGCCCTCCCCCCAGATAACCCAACAGTACAAATAGCACCTTTTATTAATGAACTCTTATGGATATTATTTAACAATATTGGTACCTAGTACTTGCTACCTACAATTTATGTTTATCCATACCATAAAATGAGTTAAAAGTCTTATGTAAAATCAAATAATTAGATATACTGTATGAAATACGTACAATGAAAATATGTTTTAACTGGTGAGTGGGAGAGGTGTCTGGGTTTTGGTAATAATAAATATATTATATTCCCTCCTAGATTTTTATTTAACCAAATCAATAATGAAATATTCTATTTTATTTTAAATAATATTTATGATGAACTCAAATATTAAATCTTAATTTGATATCATCAATTGTAAGATACTTAATCAGTTGCCCTTTATTTTAATTTTCTTTATATCATGCAATATGTCGTTTCGTTATCACTGTATCATTATCTTATCAATTATGTTTTAGGACAAAAATATTATTGTTATTAACCAAATTAAAGATTTTTAAAGTGTGGAACATCGTTCTTAAATTAAATATTTTAAACGTTTAACTAAAAGTACATTTCTGCGAAACGAGTGCATTATGTTTAAAGTTGTAACTTCATGTACAAAAGTTATCGTGCCTGTCAGAAGATGTTTTCAAAGTAGTAATTACACATGCAGACTCGTCTCGATTCCACAAAAATATCAGACACATTTGCAGTTTGCTGCACGTTCAATTGGGCCGTACATACGTTGTCTGCCGAGTTGGACTAATGTCCGATCGTGTCATGCAAAATCACCTGAGCTGACTCCACGTGAAAAATTGAAAAAAGCTGCTAAAGAATATGGTTCTGTATTAATTGCATTCCATGTCGGCATTTCATTGATATCATTGGGTACAGTATATTTTTTAATCTCGAATGGTGTTGATGTCCAACAATGGATTGGTTGGATGGGTATGTCAAATGCAGATGAAAGTACTAAAATCGTAGCTGGAGCAAGTCAATTTATTATTGCGTATGCTATTCACAAATCTTTTGCACCAGTGCGCATTTCAATAACCCTTGTATCTGTACCATTAATTGTACGATATCTCAGGTCTAAAGGAATAATGAAAATGAAATAACATAGGTATTAACTGATTAACTAATTTGTTTGTATCTATGTGTAATGTATCTATGAATAAGTATTTTATTGTATGTTTAGATTTTTATTAAGAAAGGTTTGTTCATTATGTTAAATATGGTATTATACTGTTTGAAATATTAAATATTTTTGTATTTTAACTGTGAAAGTTATCATTACTTGAAAAATATAGTTTATAATTGTTATTAGTAAAAAATATCGGTGATAATATACTTGTATATAAACTAAGATATCAAAGAGAAACTATTGGTACTTATTAAATTTAATTCTTTAATTAATGATTGTGTATTTTTTTAAATGTTTACATTTATATATGTGTAGGTATACAAAATATGTAGATAATGTAGATTGTAAGATATTTGTTGAAATAAATTGCATTAATTAGTAGGGTAATAGCACCATAATTTTAGTTTTTCAATTGTATATTTTTCATAATAAATATATTTATTTTAAATTCAATATACAATCATAAAATATTTTTTAAATTATTTTTGCTTTTCTTGTTTACCTTTGATGATCGTTAATTGATTAAATTATCAAGTTCTATAATTTACATTCCAAGGTTCATTTTTTATTTTAATGAAATTAATTAATTCTACTTTTGGTATCAGAATTATTTTTATTGTATTCTAAATACTTTGAATGTATAACATTTCAGCTAGTAAACATAAAATGTTATCTATTTTTAAATTTTATCATACTGTATTTAGATTATTGCAATAGAATTTGTAGTTTCAACTATAATACAATAATAATAATTAAGTTTTATGTCTAAAGATGCAGTTTTTCTTGTTTGTTAATGGGAAAGCATAAGACAGCATTTTAAAACTATGACTTATGAATTTATACTTAACTTTATATTGAAAAGTACCTAAAATAATATCTATAAAACATTCCTATCCAAATTATTCTCCTTTTTTAATTTGCCTGCTGTTAATTTATTCCTGAGCATGAAATTTTAAATAATAGAATAAAATAATAATAAATAAATAAAACATATTTTATATTCTCAAATCTACACATGTAGTTTATTCTTATGTAAATCTTAAAACTATTGTTATGTATTATAGAACAAAATAAAAATTAATCAGTACTATATAATGGAAACAACTTTAAATGTCTTCCTAACATAAGATTATAACAATTAAATAATATTAATAATAAAAATATAAGAATAGGTATGTCTCATTTTAATTGATACAAAATAAAATAAATATTTATATTACATCAGATTATCTTAACAGTGAAACATAAAAGACAAGGGTTACTTTATAGTATTATAATTTTAAATAATGATTTTAGTTAAATTATAAAAAAAAGAAATGTATAAAATATAGAATATAAAGTCAGATTATAATTATAATAATAATAAATGTTGTGACCATGGTTAAAAAATATAAATAGTGTAAAGACATTAAGGTTGGAAAAAACCTATTTAAAAAAAAAAAAAACACGACAATATTAAAAGAAGTATGCATGAACATTTTTCTTTTTCTTAATTTAAGGTTGAACATTTGTTTAATATTTATTAATATGTAGTATAATAATGCACATATAATTAAAATTTAATAAATAGGTATTTGCGTATAACAAAATCAATACACTTCTTTATGTTATAAATTGTACATCTAAAAATACCACAATATTTTTGAAGTAGTTATATAGTTATATATAATTCAGTTTTAAACATACAAGTGAAAAAAAAAAAAAAATTATTCATAATTAATGATGAACCTTAATTTTAAAGCAAGCAATACAAATACATACATATATAATACCCGATATGTTTGGTAGAACAACACATTGCAATTAAGTTATTATAGCATAATATTGATCAGTAGTGCTGAATCCCATATTGAGGTTGGGATTTGGCCCAACATCTTTTGAAAATTTAAATGGGACTAAAGTTATGGCTGCTCATGCATTCATTACAAAATTTAAAGCGAACATCAATTTTTTTTGGATAAAAATCACTGACCACTATATCAAGATCTTTTTAAATATTTTTCGCCCAACTAAATTTTTAGGACTTCAGCATCACTGATGTTGATTATACAAAGCAATAACAATTTAAGGTATACAATTATATAATATGTTGGTACATATCGTATGTATAAAAAAAAAATTAAAGTAAGTATAATAAGACAATAATGAGCATAGGCTTATAATGTACATACAAACACAAAATTATTTAGTTTCACACAAAGAATCTTTACAATATCCTGTCATTAAAATAATTACACAAAATATGAGTAATGTATCTCTTCTAAACAGTGGCAAAATCATTATTTATATAATATATAAATACATTTAATGGGTATGTTATAGTTGAAACCTTATAACTTAGGATGTATATTTCAGATTTACTTTATTTAGTTTTTTTAATTTACTAAAATTGAATTCTTTAAATAAGATTACACATAAAATCCAAGATATACGAACAGATTTTATTATTCACTATTAACTTTAATCAATAAAAATAATTTAATATTATAATTTTGTAATTTTAATAATTAATACAATTCTTTTACAATTACCAATTCAAATATATACCAACATCTGTTTTTTATTATTATTTGCTTCTGTCCTACATCATACTAGCAATTTGTTTTGTAAATAAAATTAACATATAAACATGGACATATAAAAAAAAAAATAGATTAAGAAGTACCATTTATGGAAATAACAGAAGTAGAATTGGAATGGAGGAGAGGATGATAATGTCGACGAAAGAATAGTTAAGATATGAAAACAGAGAAAATAATTAAATATGAGGATGGGAAAAGTAGGGATGGATAAAAAAGATCCGATGTATGTCGCAATATAATTAGTAAGAGATAAAATAAATGGAAAGAAAGGGTAGCGGTAAATGGAAATGTAAATGAAAATGGTAAAAGCGAAAGAGATAAAATGAGTCAATTGAGGAGCGGAGGGATGTTTAAACTTCGGAATCAAAGGAAAAATCAGAAAAAGGAAGTCCATGAGTCGGACCAAATTTTTAATAATTAAATATATTTCATGTTTTTACCGATAAAATGTGTATTAATATCTTGGTATGGATTAGTTAGGTAAAATCTCGAAAATCCAAATAGTATACATTCTAAGTTTATTTTATCAATATTAATTTTAGTCGTCCTTCAAGTGTAACATACACACACAACTGTCTGTTTCAAACTCTCTAGAAATTGTTAGTAAATATGAATTACGTATAAGTCTTTAACACGGCATTAACATATATAGATCAGGCCATTATGTCTTTCTTTTTTTTGTTGGCTAAATGGAAATACAGGAAAATATGACAGCCTACTTTAAATAAATATTTATGCAAATTTATAAAAAAATATTAAATTTATAACACACGGCACACTGCAATTAGCAGACATATATCACACACAGATAACATACAATTAATAGTTATATTATTTCATTTACGATTTTAATATTATAGTTAACGGATACAATTTATGCAATTACAAATAAATACAATATAATATAAACGTGCATAATATTTAATATATATTAAAAAGATCTATTTTTGTCGTTTATAATTAAATTATGTAACGAAATGCATACAATAGTATGTACCTACGTCATTATTTTGTGCACGTATGTATTTGAATGCAAATTGAACAGAGGAACTATTAAGGATTAATATTATAATCTATAACATTAATAAACTATGATTGCTTATATTATTATTCACGCTCGTTTTATGTAAGTATATATCAAAAAGTATAAAGTTATGAATAGGTATATATAGTATATAATATTGATTTTAAGCTTATTTGTACAATAAATAGTATAACACACTAAATAATATATACTCGTAGACTCGTATGAGGAAGCCTGATAATAATTTAAATTTTTAAATTTACGTGTACGCACTTATACAAGGGAAATTTGCGATATTTGAGGTTTTCTTGTGGTGATAGAAAAGTATGGACCGGAAAAAGTATCCTAACAGGGTTCACCACATAGACAACTGAAAATGTTTGTCAGCATTTTGAAGCACCTTAAGTCGAAATAAAAAAGTTTACTAACATAACAATGTTCATGCAGTCAGTTATAACGACGATGATACAGAAGCATAGAACTATACAAATATATAAGATTAACATATACTTAAAAGGTACGCGATGTAAAGGAATGTCAGAAGGGATCCTTGGTAAAAATCGATTTCCAATAGATTAGATTGAAAGATAGAAGAAATGAGTTGCGGGTCCATTTTATTTGCGTTTTGTCCTGTTGTTCGTGATTGACGGCTCTACAAAAATAAAAATAATAGTTACAAAGGTATCAAAGTGATAAATTTATTATATATATTATTGTAAGTGAATAGTAACTCGGGTGTTATTGAGTTGTTTATTTCAATTGCCCTAGACCAATAGGGCCAAGAGGAACATATATTTGAGGTATTGAAACCATATTAGTAATATATTTACAATTACAAAAAACTAATAAACATCGATGTAACAATAACGTTAAAGCTTTGTTAAATTGATATTTAATTAAGTGAAAATACCAGATATCTTATATAACAAAAAATGTATACAAATTACTAATTAAGAAAGAAATTTAAATACATTTTTGTTTAGTTTTCAAACAGAAATTTAGGGGTTTTATTCTTAACTAATAAATATATGATGTTTAATATTCAGTCATCATGCATCGCTGGAACAAAGAGCATTGTGTACTTGCATTAGAATGGATTATTACATGTTTTTTCGTTAGAAATTTGGATTACTGGTTCGTGAAGCAATGTCAAAATTCTCGTGTGAAAAATAACGAGACTATTAATTCTGTCGTTGAAAAAGTTCCTGATCCTAGACCCATGGTAAGAAAAAATAAAAATATTGAAAGAGTACACGTTGCTATTAATTTGAGTCTATAGCTTTCAATAATGACCTCCAAATTCAAAGAAATTTGATTTCTATAGTATAGGTATTTTAGGAGTAAAATCTACGACTACACGCATCTGATGCTCACATGTTATCGGTGGAACCAAATAAAAGATGCCCTGTAAGTAATTATGTTTGTCGCATGGACATCTTATTTTGGATAGAGTATAAGTACATAAAGGTTTAAGTTATTAATACTATGATACATAAGGATATTAGTTATCAATACATGGTATATGACGGTTGGCATATTCACTGAAAATCAAAAATGTTCCACGAACTATTAAAAAAGGTTATGAAGGTTGATTAACTTTTTATCTAAGTGATTAACCTTGAATGAATGATCAATTTTTTTAGGTAACTTAATTGTATTCAATGTAGCGCATTCTTAATAAGAATGTCATAAAATCATAAAATATATAACATTAGAGAACAATATCAGCAAAGATATTAATTTCCCTTTTTATCAACGGTTATGGAAATCTCAGTTAATTGATTCTGATCGCTATATTATACAGCCATATTCATCATCATACACAGTTTAATTTAAGAGTTGTAGTGTCACTATTAAGCCTTTCCAATGGTCTCTGTCCAAAGACCAGTCTAACATTGCGCTCTCATCTATTAATTTTACATCCTTTTTTGTGGCGTCATTCCATCTTGTTCCCGGTCTTCTCAGAGGCCGTTTTTTGTTTATTCTTTCCGTCAGAATATTCTTTAATACATCCCCATCAGTTTTCCTTACATGTCACGGTCACTCTCTTATACAGACATAATAAAAAAAACTTTCGATATCTTACCTAATCAATATTTATAATGCAAGAATATAAATTAAGTAATTTAATAGGGTGAGACAACTGTATATAAAACTAGTTGATTTAGAACTGCATTTAGAAACATTTTTGACAAATAATAATTTTCTCGGTATAGTGATTATGTCTCTTAAAATGTAGCATAATAAAAAAAATCATAGTGTAATTAATTATAATAGTTAAATAGTATTTATTTATTTTGTATGGCAAGTTATATCAGTAAGAATATTTTATACAATATATTTTGTAAAATATGACCAGAAAAACAAATCAAAGATAATTAAGATTTCATCTATTAATATAATAGCATCTTATTTGTTAGTGAATTTTATAAAAAATGTATAATTTGGTCTTGAAAATATTTTTCTTTACAAATTTGGTAATAGGAGGTGTCAAATGTTTATATTTTATGCTTAATATTACAGTTGTAAATTTGCATTTAAGTTTTAAATAATTAACTAACACAGTTGTTAACACAAAAACCAACAAAGAACATAATAACACTAATCACTAATATAAATTGTAATTGTTTTGTGCATTGTAAAAGACATTTTCATTATATTATTCTAAATGTTTGGATTAATAATATTCCTTGAACTGAGATACTGAGTAGCAATTAGTTACTCCCTATGAATAATCCTCGAAAACCTTAATTCAAAAATTAAGTATTTTTAAGACATTTATATAAGAAATATATCAAATCTACTAATACAATTGAGTCATTAAATCATGTTTTTAATTCAAACTAAATACTTAAAATCCTTAGTTTAATATTAATTTTAAATATAATATAATTAGATTAAAAATATATATATATAATAATAATATTTTATAATTAGTAAGTTACAAAGTCAAATATTCTTGAATCTAAGACCTAGATTGTACATAATATATACATTTATATTTATATTTTTTAAATAAAGAATAACAAAATAGCAACCAAATTAATAACACAAAGTTTATAAAATTGAATATATTGTGAGACAATATCATTTTAAATAAAATCCCAAAAAAATGTAAAACAAAACTTCTATTAATTTATATATTTTATAATAACTATTGTATAACCAACCTAAATGTATACTTAAAATTTCAAATTCTGACTGCTGTGACCCATTAGATAAAAGCTATAATTTAGATTTAGAAATGTATGTTAATGTACATGTTATACAAAACATTTATTATTATTCTACTATTAATATTCACACAGGATCATAGAAGTAATAGAGAATGGCCAAATTTATATTAAAAATATTAACACAAAAATATTCTTTAGAAAAATTAAAATGGATACAGAGCATATAAAGATTTTATATAGCATGGGCCAAAATATACATGAGATTTGATTATAACCATATTATGTATATTTACTTATCCTTCTCTAAAAATATAATAAATAATAATACTAGTATATTTATAAAATAAATGTAAGTATAATAGGTTTTTATATTCAAAATATTGTACATTATATGTAGTATAGTAAATATAAACAATTTTTACAATTTATTAGTCACACAATATATATAATATACACATACATACACACACCCAAGAAATTTAACTATGTATAAAATAAGTGTACATACATACACATAATATAGTTAAATTCAATTTACTGGCAAAAGTGAATACCTACAGTTTAACTAGTAGTGGTTGTATGGCAATTTTAAACATTCATCTACAGAGTACATTTAAATATTTTTTTGGAAGAATAATGTTCAATACACCTTTTTTCCAAAGTAATTTTAATTTTTTTTTTAGGTAGTAAAAAAAATTCATTGAAGTGCCTTATAGTTTTATGTATTTGACATATATTATACATAAAATTATGTACATAACAGATTGAGATGAAAATAATAAATTAGCATTCTTTTTGTTTTAATTTTTATATTTTATTGATGCACAAGTGTACAAAACAAATTGAGTAAGACGTGAGTCAATGAGTTAGGTATAACAAGAATCATTAGTTTACTGCAATTGAGTAAAAAAAATGCTAAATATAGCATTTACATACATATTTCAAATAATAATTATTTTTATGAAGATAACTTAAATTTTATAATATCATTTTCATAAGATAAATATTTACTAACATTGGTCAATGTGAATATTTAAAAAAATGTATTAGTTTTCATGGTGTACAACTAATATATTCCCTGTTTTGCTCAGAATCTAAAATTAAGTACTTTGTAGTTTTTATATTTACTTTTGCCACAAATTTAAAATAAAGTTGTATATTAAATAAGTGTTTTAATTCTTAGTTCATTTCACATATTTTATTGGTACACCAAGTAGTTTTATTTTTATTCTTAAAATTGTCTATGAAGGTTCATTTTTCTCACTTTTCATTTGATCATTTACATTTTTATAATTATTAATTAAGCTATTCATCCAAATGAGTATATTCGTGATTTTTTTTTAAATAAAAACTAAATGTAACTAACTCTAGTAGTTTGACTATTTGTAAATTTTTATTTAACTTTTAAATTATTATTTTTTTTTTTATGCCTAGTAATATGTTTATATTATGTTAAACTAATAAAACTAAATTGTTTACTTAGAGCTGTTAGGTTTTCATTTAATTTTTCTAGTGCATTCCAATTTTTTTTTTTTATTTAATCTCACCTTCTGTCGCTTCAGTACACGTGCATCAGTTTTTCGTCTTGACATGCCCCTTTACTGGGCCGATACAAACCTAAATACCCTTTTGGCCACTTTGAGTGAACAAGACTGTAAATTAAAAAACAACCATGGGGGATTTCATAGATGGAATTTTACAAAATAAATTTAAATAAAAATAAATAAAAATAAAATAAAGAAATCTCGGCCAATAATAATGAAGTGCCGTTTAAATTAATTTTATTTAAATGCCAAATAACCCAAACCTAAGTATGATAATTATTTTGGTTGTATTTGGCATTTGATTATAGTGTATTTGTGAGAAATTTGGAATTTATTTTACCTTCTAAACACTCTACATATGACGAATGACTCATCGGCTAAACTTATCTTATTCATGAGTTCTATTCGTATATAACTATTATTTTACTTTTCGAGTAAAATAGTTTCTTATAAGTACACAATAAAATGTGGCTGTGCGAACTAAATTATTAAAACATACCTCGTGTTTATTTTTCGAATTTGGATTTGAATCATTTAACAGCATTAATTTCATCTGATTTTTTAAAGTTATATTCTCGTTTTTCATTATCTAATTATGATTTTACTTATTAATCAACTTTTTATTTACTAATATATAAATACCAACTAAATTCAAAGTTTATAATATTTACCTTTAGTTTGATTTGTAGATTTGTTTTTCTCGTTTATTCTTTGCCAACTATATTCAGTACCACCTCCATCATCATCTTCATCATTTGAAGAGTTGTTCCATCTTTCGTTTTCTCTGTCACTATCGTCATCACGAATTTCATTCTTGAATACATTAAAAAATAAAATTTATTTATTGGTTAATATCTCATAATGTAACCTAACATGTTCTATACTGAAATTTATTTAACAGTTCTAAAAATATCATGAATTTATAAACATTAATATTATTTTTCAATGAAAATACATTAAAATTAAATTGATTGACAATATTACATATCAACTATCAACTATAAACATACATAAATAACAATAGATTCTAATATATATAAATATTGTACATATGTACAATTGAAATAACAGTTAAACATTATTGAATTTTTTTTTTTTTTTTTAAGACTGTTGGGATTAACCAAATGTATATACTAGCAATACCTAGATTAGTGAGACTATTGTATATTCATCTTTATAAGAAACTATATTTAAACTATGAATGAGTTAGATTTATTGAATATGCTTACAGTTGTAGGTAAAGTAATATCACTGTTATTTTCTGATACTACTTTTTTTGGAAGAAAACTATATGGTAAAGCATGTGGCAACAATTCTTCTTCTTCTTCTGGCTTCTCATTCCATTGTCTTTCTTCATCTTCAACACCCCCCTGTAACCAAGAGTTATATTTATATTTTAAATCAAAATTTAATTTAAATTTTTAAAGTAATGTAAAGAAAATAGTGCATTAAAAAATAAAATTAATTACGTGAGGTATGGCAATATCATGGCTATGATTATTTTGAACACACTGAGCTCTATTATTATCAGCAAGAACTACATCCATGGACATAGTTTCATTTCTTCTAAAAGTATATAATTTACGTGACTCTTCTTCGTCATAATATTGTTCTTCATAATCTTCTTCAAAATCTGGACATTCTGATTTAATATTAATATCATTTTCATATGATTCGGATACATGAGATTCATAAACTGAATCTTGATCATATTCATCTTCTTCCATCATTTCAGGTTTAACTACTCTTGATACATTAATTGGAGGAGCATCATATTCCTCAGCATTTTCCTAAAAATAAATTATTGCAAAAACATGAAATAATTATAACATAAATAAAATTTTAAATGTAATAAATTAAAAAATAGTTAAATTTACTTCTATTGGTTCCCTTTTGATTTTTTTCCTTAAACTCTGTACATCAAATTCATTCATTTCATTTGGCTAAATTAACAATAATATTAAGTTAAACATTTGAGAATTAAAATAAAAAAATAGCTACTTACTAATTTGTCAACTTGTCCTGGTGGATTTACATTTCCTTTACCACGCCTAAATCTTAGCACGACTGATCGGCTATCAATTACTAAATTATATTTTTCTTTATATGCTTGTATTGCATCCTCAGCATTAGAAAATTTAATAAATGCATATCTATCGCAAACACAGATTTATAAATTTAATATAATTAACCAATAGCTGAGCACAAAATATATTTAGTTATGACTATTAGAACTTACCTAGTGTACTTCATTTTTTTAGCAAATCCAATATCAACTCTAGTGGCTTTTGGAAATTCATCTTTAACAGCATTAGATGTAATATTTGTTGGTAAATTTCCAAGATATAATCTAAAGTAATTAATATTTTATAAATTAGTTATAAAATTACAAATTATATACTGACATTTATTGCAGCAAGTGTAAACCAGAATTTTTATCCAATGAAAATTTTAAAGTTAAGACAAAGTATGTTTTAATTTTTAATAGTTTTAATATAAGAAAAAAAATATTGGTAATATTAAATATTTGATAAATAAGCTTATCCTTCATTTAAAAAATAAAAAATGAATGCACTATTAAGTTTATGCCATTAATCAAATTATTAGAAATTACAATACTTAGCTCATTTTTTTTTTTTTTTTTAAATAGACTTTATGATTTAAAATTATTTTTAAATACATATATACTAAAAATATGACTAACAATACCATTTTTAAGGTTAAATTACTAAAATGTATGATACTTACGTGTATGGATCAATGCACTCTGGAAATGCTTTTTCTTCAAACTGACTTTCTTTAATTTCAACACGCAAATTCTCATGTTGAAAAACTGTCTTATTCAGTTCCTTTGCAACATCTTCAATATTTGCAGTAGGTTGTACTTGTACATAACAATACCTAATAAAATGAGAAGTTCAAAAATCTTTAACTTAAATTTAAATCTTATATTAAATTATTCTTTAGTCATAATAAAATTAATCTTACCTCGGATTACATGGTGTGTGGAAATGAACAGATTTAATATCTGTATGAAAATTTTGAACAATTTGTCGTGTAATTTCATGATCTGGAAATCGGATCATAATTTGTTGATTATTTTTAGGTGTTCGAAGTTCCATTTCAGCTGCAATAGCTTTTACTGCATCTTCACGGTTCCATGGTTTTTGAGCACGCTGAGGTTCACCAGATTGTTGTGATTTTAACTTGCGTTTTCGTGTTTTACATTCTGTCACAGCATTTGTGTCCTTAATTTGTGTAATAAAATACAATAAAAAAAAAAGTTGATGAATTGAGCTTTAAAAATGTTTACAATTGTTATTTGTTAGATTTATATATCGAACCTGATTAGTTCCATTGGATTGAATTTGAACAGAACTACGAGGTCTATTCATTCGCATGTGTTGTCTTGGTATAAAACGTGGTCTTTGATTAAACTGTGGCCAGTTTTGAGTAGATGATGTTGATGGTGTTTGTGGATTTTGAGAAGAATTACCAAAGAAATTGCCATTCTATTAAACAAATATAAATATATAATAAATATGTTTTAAAATTAAACATTAGAAACTAACAGCATTTTGCGAGAACTGTCTAGGATAGTTGTTTCTTGGAGTGTTCCCATATTGATAAGGTGTACGCTGGCGTGAACTGCTGTTGAACGACCTCCAGCGTGTCAAAGGTGATCTTATAGTACTATTACTAGACGAACTGAATGTGGTTAGATTATTACAAGTCGTAGTATTTGTCACGGTAGTCTTAGCTTGTGGAGCAGGGTTTGCCATACGAAACTGTGTTTGCCATGTATTAGGAAAGGCTTGTTGAGGCCAGAATCCATGGGGATGTGTTGGTGGGGGAGACGTGAAATCTGTTTGCAAGTGTATTTGGTTGCTGTGTGGCGGAGGCTGTTGTGGCACAAAAGTAGGCAATACTTGTTTAGGTGGGCTCATGATGGCCGATTTGTTTTCGATAGACTGGTTTTCCACTGGAAAAAATAATAATCATAATAAACACAAAAGATAAATTATACATTTGGGATTTTCTGCAATGGGATTATTCGTGTAAATTTAATGTCTCACTTGTATTCGTTTTGTCAAACGTTTTTTGTGAACATTACAAAAATCAGTACCAGGTAGATGAAGTCAAGGAAATAGGTCAGTTTTAAATGTACTACTGCGTTACAAAAACGCATAAATCGATAAATTGGTACAAACGAAGCACACAGACATATACATACAACACCAATTACAATAACACAAGTTACTTCGGCGCAGCAGCTTGTCACTACTATTACTCCTGGTGGCGGAGATCGTGGAAAACCGTGATAAGGAGAGCGTTTAAAAAAAAAAACAGTTCGGCAACGTTGCAAAATGTTGTTGTGTTGATAGTGAATATGTACGGTGTCGCTGTGATAATAAAAAAAAAAAAAAGAAGCATTTTGTTTACGTTCAACATATTTTTTTAACCCAAGTATTATTCGGTTTTTTGAACGTATATTCGCACAACGTATTTTGAGTGAATCATGTCGGGGTATCTAGCTTTATGATAGTCACCCGGTAATGTCAGCTTCACTGAATGTCTAGCCGGTCTCATCGTCGCGCGCTCTCACGTAAGTAACCCAAAATTTATGTTGAAGTCAACGTAAATCACCGGCCCGGGATAATGGACTTAGTATATTCGATATTTCGAAAACAAGCTTGGAAAACACAATTTCAAAATGAGCAGATGGAAGAGGACATGTGCTTTAAATGCCTGGCTAAGATCTCCGCCAACAATATTGTCGCTTGGGTAACCACATTCGATCTTGACGATCACGTCAACATCAACTGGGGATCACACGTGTACATAGCTGATCTCAACGTGCCTTGGAAGTACCACAAGATCACTTCCAATAATTGTACCGTCACCACTCTAGAATGGGACATGTATGGCTATTCGCTTTTGATTGGTGACAAAAATGGTGCTGTATCTATATGGACTTGTAGTACTGATCATAATCTCACCAATTGGGTTCAGGTAGGTTCAAAAGATTTTCGTGGTGAACCAATCATTGCTGGCACTTTTTTTCATTTGGGTAAAAAACTAATGCTTGTCAATGAAAAAGCTGATAATATCAACTATTTTGAAAAATTCAACTATGTCAGGTTCACTCCATCTTTACGCACATGGGGAGGCACTGGATTACCAGGATGTTTAATAGTATCTGCTACAGGCATGATTGGAGCTCTGTTAACTAATGACAGTGGAGAACCTATGATTTCGGCTACAAACAGTTTGGCTGTAGCTAGGTATCGTATATCTGTTGTTGATATCAGTTATCGACAAAATGGAAATTTCTTGATTGTCACATCTGATGGTCGACCAAGATCACCAATTAATTGTTATGAAGTATCAATAAAGCTAATAAATGAAAAAAGTTGTACCATTATATCACAGTGGTTGCCTAGCTTTTTTTTAACATTTAATGAAACTGTGGATAGAGTTATTTCACATGTAAAATTTTTATTACGTGAAGGTTCCGAATCTCTTGTTATTGGCAGTAATAGCAGCAATGGATGTATTATAGAAACATGGGAATTAGTCAAAAAAACTAATCCAATAAACAAAGTATTTAAAAAAGTCATAACTGAAGATCATCCAACTGTGAGTTGGATAAAAAAAAGCTCTTTCACTGTAGGAGCGCAATTAACAGCGTTAGCTACACCGAAAATGTCCATATCCTACAACCAATCTTCTAGCAGTCAATACGTGGTTGCTGCCTTTAGTAATCATCAAGTTTGTTGTTTATCTAGAGAACTAACGCAACAGTGTTTGTTTGAATTAAGTAGTTATTGTGAAGACAATATTGGAAAAATAGGCTTGCAACATAGTAGCAATATTCAATTTTCAGACTTAGACATTTCTTACCTGGGAAATGTGTTTGTTGTCTGTGACAATATGGGTAATTTATATTTGTTTCAACTACTTTCTGTAGCAGAACTGAATGGGCCTTTAACTGTTGCCTATGCTACATTACAGCTTGAATATTGTTTGGTCACTGGTTTAGATTGGTGGGATCTGGCAATATCATTAAGACCTAACATGTTGGAAGCTGTGTGCAATCGTTTTAGTGAAAATTTCCTAAAACAATCCCAGGTACTTCAACAAAAAGAGTACACTACATATTTGAGTATTCGTTCTTTTCTTTACAAAATGATGCCTGGAGCACAATCAAAACGTTCTGACCTCATGCACCTGATGACGCTTCATTCCATATCTAACGCATTTAAAAATGTGTTACGTGTCAGTGATATTATGGCTGATAGAGATCCTGTTGAAAGTTTATCAAATGTCCTGAAGGAACCTATTATAGACATAGACAAAATTTTACCTAGTCTAGGTGGTAAGGATTTTACTGTAGAACCCAGTACTCTTCAATCACTTCATCAACTTATCCAATGGGTAGCACAGCTCGCATTAAATGTTGTTTCCAGAATACCTGAACCACGTGATAATGTTGGATATAACTTGCTAAATGATTTATATGCCATTAATACAATACGAGAGCTCTTAGTCATGATACGCATTTGGGGTCTATTAAGGCCTAATTGTTTACCTGTATTTATCAAAAACATTGACAATTTAGATGTTTTATCTGTTACGTTTCGTTTACTTTCACGGTTTGTTCAACTATGTGGTGAAAATGATGAAATGTTATTTGATGAATGTTATACACTTCAAAGTCAAGTCAATATCACTCCTCTTTCATCAGTTGCTGCAGGAATTCATGAAGTTGCATCTCCTGCTCTTTATTATCAGCATTTACCATTAAAGTTAGTATTTGGTCAAGAACCAGACTGTTTGAGGTATAATACATCTTCTATAGATACAACATATAATGGTAAACAACATTCAGATTATGTGAAAGATTATGATGTCATAAGAAATGTGTATATAGGTAGATGTCCATTAACTGTGAAACAGTGCAATAGATGTGAAGGTAAAATGCAATTGGTAGGTAATTCAAGAACTGCAGCAATTCGAGTATGGGAAAATAGGTGGGCCAGAAATTGTAGATGTGGTGGTAGGTGGCGGACAGTTAAAGTAGGAAGCCAGTAAGTTTAACAATAAAAAATTATATTGTTTATATAAAATATAAAACTTGAATATTCAATAGTATCATAATTTAGTTCAATTTTTGGCAAACTTTGGTGATTGCAACTTCATAGTAATACATTTATAATCCAATATTAATTAGTACAAACTATTTAATACGGTTGGATAAAAATAATAATAAATATTTTTACTGTTTTTAACTGCAAATACAGTTGCTAAATTATTTTAATATTGACAACTTTATCATATAAATAAAATAATTTGTTTTTATAAAATATATTAAAATGTATTTTGTTAAATTTTTTTACTACACAAAGTATTTGATAACAATATGAATTAGATTTTATTCTTATTGTATCAACATCAATGAAGTTATATATTATCAAGGTAAAGAAGTTTTTTTTATACAATATTTAAGTATAAAAGATCTTCCAAATTAAATTTTGATCTCTGAAATTTTAGCTAAATATGATTAATTTAAGATTTACAGTAATCCCTCGTTATCCGCGGAGGTTAGGTTCCAGGAAAGTTGCGCGGATATCGAAACCGCGGATAACGAGACCATAAAGCAATGTAAAACGGGAAGTTAGGTTTTATTTACATACAATTTTTAATTTTTATTAGACATTTTTATTTATTTTTATTTTTATTACACAAAAAGGTTAATATGTTTTACAATTACATATTATGTATTTATTTTTTTAATATAATTTATTAATTATTTATACATACATACATAATATATTAGGAAGGATGAAAAAAATTTGTAATTGATGTTTGTTTCCTTTTGTTTTCTATGTCTTTGCGAACTTCTTCGTAAGGCACCAGCAATTCTTGGATTCCTCTTTTGAACTTTAATGCTCTTTCAGTGAGTGGATCCGTCATAAGAACTTGTTCAGTTAGTTGGTTTGCTAATGAAAAAATCTCTTTGATTGATTTAGAGGAGAAATCCGGCTTCACAGGTTCTTCTTCCTCTTCATCATCCTCCGATTGTTTTGGTTCGTTCGGGGTTTCGGTAATTTCTTCTAGATCCTCCAATGTAAGTTCCTGATCATAGTTAAACATCATTTCTTCTATGTCGTCTCTATTTACCTCATCAAAACCTTTTACGTTCCGAGCAATTTCTACGATTTGATTCACCGTGGTGTTCAGATTGTCAATTTTATCGCTTTTCAACACAACTTCTGGCCATAATTTTCGCCAACAAGCATTTATAGTCGAGGGCTGAACTTCATCCAGTGATTCTTTGATATTGACGAGACATTTAGCGATGTCATAATTTTTCCATCCTTGTGTAACTGTAAGTTCTGGATCTTCTTCTAAGTTTTTTAATAGACGTTGAAAAGTTCTTCGTACGTAATAGGCCTTAAACGCTGCAATCACCCCTTGGTCTAATGGTTGAAAAAGTGAGGTAGTGTTTGGAGGCATAAACATGACTTCAATGTCAGAATGTTGAAATTTTAATGAGGGGGGATGGCCAGGGGCATTGTCAATTAGCAATAAAGCTTTAAAAGGGAGATTTTTTAATTTTAGGTACATCTCCACTTGAGGAATAAAACAGTTTGTAAACCAATCACTAAAAATTTGTGCAGTGACCCAAGCTTTATTATTTGCTCTCCAAAACACTGGCAAGTGATTCATGTCTTTAGATTTGAAGGCTCGTGGTTTAAGTGATTTATAAACGACCATTGACTTTATCATGAAACCACAAGCATTAGCACAAAGCAATAAGGTGAGTCTGTCTTTAGCTGCCTTGAATCCCGGTGCTGTTTTTTCATTTTTTGATAAAAAAGTTCTTGATGGCATTCTTTTCCAAAAAAGACCTGTTTCGTCTGCATTGAATACCTGTTCGGGGGTGTAACCACCCTGTTCAATGACATTTTTTAACTCTATAGGAAAATTTTTAGCTGCTAAATGGTCTGCCGAGGCAGACTCGCCAACTAGTTTGACGTTGTGAAGGTTACACCGATTTTTGAATTTTTCAAACCAGCCTTTGCTTGCGAGGAACGACGAATTTTCGCTATCCCCCTTTGATGAACTTGTAAAATGTTGATGAAGTTGTTTAGCCTTTTCTCGTATAATTATAGAACTGAGAGGAACTTTTTTTTGGGTCTGGTCTTCAATCCAAATATTTAAGGCTTTTTCGGTCTTCTCTACCATAACATCACGCGTGATAAAACACGTTTTACTGGAAATAGGGGCACTTTCCATAACACTGCGTCGTATTGCCACTTCATTTTTTCTTATTTCTCGAACACTAGACTCGTTCATTTCGTACTTCCTAGCAAGTGACGCTACGGTATCACCACTTTTTATTTTATCCAAAATTTCAATTTTTTGCACAAGTGTCAAAACTTTTCTTCTCCTTTTCATTGAAATTTTAGGTTGAGAAGCCATTTAAAATGAAGTATGTATGGTACTGAATTAATTACAAATATAAATTAAATTAAATGTAGTAATATTTACATACAACCGTACACGTGTCACGCACTAATATCAACCAACAACTGAACAATTTTAAGATATAACAAATTAACCGTACATATTAAGGTATGTACATTATGTAGCTTATCTGTTATAATAGTATGGGTATAATAAAGATAAAATTTCATCGTATGTATAAATAAAATGTTATCGCCGACCCAACCGTGGATAATCGAAACCGCGGATTAAAAATCCGCGGATAACGAGGGATTACTGTAATTTGATAATGTATTTACTCTTTTAATAATATTGTTTGATAATTAAATTGTATATCATTGGGGATTATTATTTATGCTAAATTTGTGTAACTGATGTAATTTATTAAATTTGTTTATTTTAAGTTACTTAAGTGTAATATTGTTATCCTGATTTAACTTACATGATTATGTGTATTTTAGTTTATAAATAAATGAATAATAATGTTACATTATTAATGTAATAACAATAATGTAATTAAATGAATATGCTATTGTATTTACACAATTATTTGTTTAATTTTTTTTTTTTTTTTTGTTATATATTTTTGTTTGTAAATTATTGAAAGAAAAAGTCATTATTTGTTTATCCAATATGAACAATTAACTTTATTAAATGTAATATATTACAATGTTTCTATCAATTTTTGGGTATTTCATCTGTAGAACTAGTTGATTCATTAGTGATTTTTGTTTTAGATGTTTGTCCAGAATAATCTGTAGCTAAATATGTCATTAGATCAGTTAATCCTTCAAACTCTGTTCGAGATTTATGAACAGTTGGAGTAAGTCTTGGAAGCAATGAACCTATTTTCATTCTGAATTCATGCATCTGTAAAAAAAAAATTAAGGATTATTATATTTTTAAAAAGTGATAAAATACAGCAATAGAAATTTGATTAAAAAGTCATCAAAATATCTATTTAAATACTAGATGAAACCAATTAGTTTACTAAAATATTAAAGTTAGAGATGAAAATGTATTATTATCTTTTTATGTATGTTAAGTATGTTTTATGTATGTAAGATATTCATACTTGCTTGAATAAATAAAGAAAATATACTGTTAAGAGAAAAAATATTAAATAGAAAGAAATGATTATATGAAGGAATATTCTATGTTCATATTCATGTTTTCCTCTCATATGATATAGGAATAACCTTTATTGAATTGTTCTTTCATAGTATTTGCTTTGTTGTAATTTGTATCAGCCTTCATAAATCTTAATAATTTTATCATCTCCATTAAAAAGGAAAAGAAAAAAAGAATATAGCATACATGGCAGTATTACTGAAAAGTAAGAAAATAAATTTTATAATTTTTATTTTAATATTGAATACCTAAATATCCTCTAAGAAGAATTAGTGTGTAGAATTATTTATTATCATAGTAATAATTAATAGACTTAAAATAAATATAAATAACATAAAACAACGAAAATATGAAAATAATCGTACAAAAATTATATTTATAAATTAATATTTCATTTTTCTTTGATGAATAATTTACTACTATTACCATTTACAGTATTTCTTTTATATAATTTTTTAGATAAATAAAACACTAGTATGATACCATTTTCTTTTAATAGAAAAAAAACATAAATACAATCATCAAACATTTACATTTACTGTTTATCAATATCAACATATATCTATAAATATGGAATTAACCAATTATTTTATACCCTACTTTAGAGCCAGAGAAATTATAAAAATAATTAATACATCAAAAATATATTCACTTACATTTTTCTGTTTAATAATACATAAAAAAAAAAAAAAAAAACAATGGTATAAAAATGAAGGGCATAAAACACTTAAAAGTATTTTATTTGTGTATATGTTGTTATTGCCATTGATCTTATAATATACTAAAGTATATTCTAAAATTAATTTATTACATTTTCAGGCAAGATACCAATGAACATTTTGTAAAATTTAGGTTAGTAATATTTTATTAATTTACAATAAATCATAAACTTTATGTAATGGAACTAAATATGTATGAAATGGCTTTCATGACATTACTTAACATTTTTTTACATGAGGATAAATCTTAAGACTTGGTGGGTCAGAATCTCTCTTATTCGATGTTATATATATATATTATAATAAATATAAATACACCTATTATTGGTATAAATATATTTCTATAACAGAATAAATATTTAGTTTTAAAAATTTTACAAAATCATTATTGCTACTATACTAAGATTTTTTAGACAAAAATACAATAAAATATACTTACATCATTAGCACCACTCATTTTCCATACACCGTAGAAAAACAAACCACAGCCACCAAATGCATAGAAAGTTCCCCATTTTAAAGCTCTGATAGCTAGTTGCACACCAGTTTCAGCCGAGGGTGCTGGGGGGATTTGACCTTTAGAGAACATATTGGGATCTGTTTTACGAGCTGACGCCAAAGTTGACGCAAACGTGAATATGCCAGCACCAGCCGCAACACATGTTAAGAAAGCGGCTGATGCTACAACGTATATTACATCATTATTGATCACATTACATTATTAAAATTAAATTGTATTTAAATTAGGATTTGCTCATCGTTCACATAATACATTAATAATTATACCTAGAGTATCGCTCGATTTATTTTTGTTTTGTTGTGATTTAGTTGCATAATTGTCTTCTTTATTTTCATTAACCATTAAAATGTGTGTATTTAAATTCTATTAGAATATAGACTTAAATATTTTAAACTTTTAATAAAGAATTAAGAAAAATACCGGCATTTTTAAACATAATAATATAATTATTATCACTGGACAAAGTAATGATAACATATATTTAACCTATCAATCTGGTATATTAGTCAGTGTATACAAATTGAAAAAAGTTCAAGTGATATACCCCCTTCATTGGTGTTTGGTTTTCCGTTTACATTTTCAGGCTTGGGCCACACTATAGTACGAAATGCGCGCGTTATGATGAATGTGCTTATTAACGTGCGTATAGAGCGGTCGCCTGGCGCGGATCAATGGGGGGGGCATGGGAGCGATGGCCCTCCCCCAAATGTCACGAAACAAAACGGAAAAAAAAATTATAAAATTATATGTCAAGCAAAGATAAAAATTATATTTTTTCTATTGCAACTATGTATTGAAATGTTTTCAGAAACCAAAAGAAAATTAGATGTCACTCTATAATTTTTAATTTAATTTCATATTTCTTATTTTTTTATGGTTCTTAAACTAAAATTTTTCTTTACAATGTAAGTACCTACTTATTTTTTTTTAAACTTTTAGATGGTAATACTTATAATATTATAGAATGATTGAATTTTATATATTGTATTATGTTCAAACTATAAAATACCCCCACCCCATATAAATGACTCTGGATTCCCACCTATAGTTTATAAATAAATAAAATCGTTATCGTACAACATGAATTCCTAATTCCTTGTGACCTGCGTCTCACGTAGTGTATTAATGTTAAGCTGTAAAGTTGTTTATGATAAATATTAGTTTATTTTTTATTTTGCAGTTATTGTTACATGATCTTCATATTAATTACTAAGTGTAATTTAATATAGTTATTAATATTTCAATTAAAGTAGTTCAAATAAATAAATACAATTTTTTTGTTGTGCAAATGTTGTAAGCGTCAAGACATAAGGAGTGGTAGCATAGTTGGAGATGCTGGAAAATATTGAAGGGGCTCAAATACCTGGTAACAAACAGCTCTGTGGGATATAATTTTCAAATTAAAAATTTGAGGGGGAAGGGGGGCTTACCCCCTATCATTATCCCTGGATGAAAGGTCATTCAAAACAATGAATTACCCGATAAAATATTTCATTTCATCACGACACTGTGTTAAGATACCTCGGTACAACACTTGGAACCCATCAGAAAGAGAATGGAATTGCCGAATTCTAGGCGCTTTTCTTCTGAATTGGTCTCTAAAATAATTAGTCCTCCTAAATATGCAATTGATACTGGAATTTTTTCAAAAAACAATCGTTGAAATGGAAAAAAAAATGTATGTTTGGCTTTAGCTAGATAGCGCTATAAGTATATTTTTAAGAATTGGAACATCGTTTATATGATTTAAAATAACGTCCATTACTCTGGTCCCCCCAATCAAAAATGTAAGATTTTTTCATGTTTATAATTAGTACGTAATATGTACGTATTTGTAAGACCAATTTCGGAATTTGTACGGAACTCGTTCATCGATAAAAATTAATTTATTGCGGGAAGGGTTGAAATAACGGGCTGCATCCGAATTGGTTCCCGAGATTTTATGTATTATACATCCGAATTGGTTTCCGATATTTTATGCATTCTATTTTTGTAAAATACCTTCGATAATGGATTATGGCTATGGATTCTCCTGATAGTTCAGTTAATCTAATAATTTCTCCATTCATAAGTATATTTATATAAATAAAATAAGAAACACATTATGCGTAAATAATGACGATTTGAGTAGTATGGTTAAATATCTAGTTGTTACTTGTTAGTTATTTCCTGCACGTTACGTGTTATATACTTTTTTTAATATGAAATTCATGTTCAGTGAAAAAAATAAAAAACTTGTGGTGTTAGATGGTTTTAAATTTGGATATCAAAAACAGCAGGTGATATTGAACGTTGGATATGTGTAAAAAGAAAATGTAAGTCATACTTAAAAATAAATAATTTAAATTCAATTGTCGATAAAAGTATAATACATAACCACGAAAAAGACAGTGATAAAATACTTAATAGAAAAAAGTTAAGTAATAGTTCAAAAAGAAAAGCTCAAGATGTATTATATGAACGGCCAGCAAAAATTATTCGTTGTGAAATGGCTAAACCTGATATTGAAACTATAGATGCAAATGATTTAGGTAGAATTCGTAAAAATATTCATGCTAGTCGATGTAGTACAGAACCAACGTTGCCTAAAACATTGAGTCAAATTCATGAAATATTAAATAATTATGATGTAAAAACTAATCGGGGTTAAAACTTTTTAATTATTAATGATACAAAAACTAATATAATTGGATTTCTTGTAATAGTAATTTGGAAAAATTATCAACTTTTTTCAATTCATGGGGTAAAAAATAACTATTATGCTCCTCTAGTTTTCTTCATACCTCCAAATAAAACTAGTGATACATATACAAATGCTTTTCGTTTTATTCAAAATTATCTAAGCCTAGATAAAATATATGTCTATTTTGATAGAGTAATTCATGTAGCTGCCTCTGGAGTATGGCTTTTGGCTCAATTAAAAGGTTGTCGATTTCATTTGGGCCAAACTTGGGTTACAAATATACAAACACTTGAACTTTCCAAAAAATTTAAAACTAAGGGTTAGGATAGGACGATGTTAAAAAATGTTTTTTGGTTTATCCTTGTTATCACCCAAAGAAATTAATTAATGCTATACTGACGATTTAATGACAATAAAATCTATTAATGAAAAAATTGACGAATTCTTTGATTATAACAAAATATATACAACATTATATTCAATTCAAAAACAAACACACATCAAAACTGAGATGGAAAAATTAAAAAAAAATGAAATTCAATACTTAACTAATTTTTGCTATACATTTTTACCACAATAATAATAAATAAATAATAAAAAAGTCAAAATTATATAATTCAATTAATATACATAATCAAAAAATTATAAAAATATATCTTAACTTATTTTCGTGTTATAAACAAGCATACCTACATCAAAATAAGCATAAATAAATTTCATAAAAATAAAATTATCATAATACCTACTTAAAGAAACAATTTTTAACCATACCTACTAAAAATAGACAGTCCTAAGTCTGTATGAAATGGGAAGGAAAATTTAAATTACTCTGTAAAAAAATTGGGAATCAATTCGGTTATACTCTCCGTAAGGAATCGGGAACCAATTCAGATATATTCTCCGTAATAATTTGGGAACTCATTCGTATTTAGCGGAAATAACGTTATTTCAGCCCCTCCCTCCCGTAAAAATACACATTTTACAAAATTTAAAACTAATTTAGTTGTTATTGAAAATGTTTATTGTGTTAAAATATTATGTTTATTCATATTTATATAGGTACCTACATAACTTACCAAATATACATTAAATTAACTATAATAGGTATCTTTTGAAAGTTACTAATAATTATGGAGCTATCATAGTTTTTTTATAACACAAAAAATATTTAGAAAAAAAAAAAAATCAAATGTACCTACCTCTTAAATGTACAAATATTGTGCAACTATCAACTCATGAGTAACATGGCCTTAGAATTAATTTATGAAACCTAATTTCATGAGATATTTGTTTAGTTCTTATTATTTTATTTAACCATTGCCAATAGTGTAGATGAAACTTGGTTTGTTAATTTTTATTCTTCACGTTTACGAGAAAATTTTCAAGTAGATGTTTTCATACTCGTAATATCGCAAATAAAACTATACATATAATGTAGTATTTTTAAATATTTTATATCTTTTTTTGTTGAATTTTAATTTTAATAAGACCTAATAGGTACGTCTACATTTTAGGTTTTAAAAAGGTATTATTTGTTCTATATTATATAAATATTCAAGGAAATTATAAAGTATAACTGGTATTTAAACAACACAAGTTTAATAGTGTGAATACTTTAATAAAAGTTGACTGTTAAGAGATGTTAAATTATTTTTCCCAAGAAGGAATCAAAAACAGTGAATATATATTTGGATACTATGAAGTTCTATATAAAATATTCTCACGTATTAAGCAAAAAATATTAATAAAGTAATAAAATAAAATAAAAAAATTATAATTGTTAACTCACATAAATTAATATATAAATAAATAGTTTTTACATAGAAATAAATAAATAAATGCTTAGTCAGGATTATTATTTTGTATTTGTATGTTTGACGGGTATAGAATTAAAAATTCATCATCAGGTATATTATAAAATATAATAAAATCGCGACTTATAAAGTTCTACTGGTTGTACATCACAAATATAATAATACTCCAAGATAAGCATTTATTTAATTATTTATTTATATATGTATAAACTATTTATTTATGTATTAAAAATACATTAATGCTATCAAATATGATATTTTCATATTCATTATTATGATTACAATGACATTATTCATCTTAGTCAACTATTATATCTTACATGAAACAATAAATACATAATTTAGGTGTTTATGACGAAATCATAGTCATTTTTTTTTTATAAAAAAACATTGTTAATAAATAATGAATGGGAGAATACCATGTTATATATACATCCAATTAAAATTATTAACAATAAAGTTGGTCAATTACACTCTAACCACTAAATTAGATGTGCGTAAAATATTATATAATTATTCACATGCTAGAATTGTTGATTTTAATAATTTTTTATTCAAACCAGCAATACTGTGGTTTTTTTGTTGACCATACGCATACAACAATTATTAATTTGACGATAGAAAATTACTCTATTATAATATGCATTTAATAAATTGTATAACTATAATAATGCAAACATAATCATGTTCTATTAATAAAATGTTAAAGTTTTAAAACTTAAAAATGTACTCACGAATCAATATAAAATACATTTTTATAGTAGCCGAATAGTATACTTATAATTATATTTTTTTTCAACCTTCTTCCTTCCCCCAAATGGTTATTTTTGCCTTTTTTACTGGATATAAATATAATTTATTTTAACAGCAGTGACTTTTTTTTTACGTCTGTAGTCTGAGCTACGAGTATCAATAATTATGTGTTTTATGAATTATGAGTTAAAACGCTACTGGATTGTTATTTTCATGTCTTTTCAAACTAATAAAAGATATTTGTTTGCAAATATTAATTGATATTATTGTATTTTTAAAATTAAATAATAATTATTCTAATACAACATTTAAGTTTTTATTCATACTTTTGTCGTTTGAAAATGTTGAACATAAGCTTGTATCCTAAATAAAACATTCGGTTATGTTGAAGGAAATATTAAGAAGTTAGATGTAATAAAAAATTTTACGGAAACAAGTTAACGACCCTGAAAATATAGGTTAATCAGTTAAATACAATACCTCGTGTATAATGGATGTTAGGGTGAAATTAAAAAAAAAAAAAATCTTAAATACCTATCTCCTATCGGATAAGGCTATTTTTTTTAATTTTCTGAATGTAAAACATAAAGTATTTACCCAGTTGAAGCAATTCCTAAATGTTTTCATTTCACACAGATCAGCTAATAGTATTGGGAAACGTGTATCCATTAAGTGTAAGTGTAGATAAGTATTATATAATTAAATTTTGTCAACAACAATTTGTAGTTGTACGTATTTCAGTAAAATATATGTGTAATAAAAATAAAAATAAATTAATTTTGAAGTCTTAGAAATTAGTTTAATTGGTATGGATTAATTATGAAATCGTACTCCTGAAAAGTAGTTACATTAACACATTCAAATTTTTATATTATAATTATATTTAATTTGATTTGTTTCATTGATTATTAAGTGTATTTTATGTATAAACATTAATTCATAGACACAATTTTGTCTATAGGCGAGGTGAAAGTTCAAACACACTGGACGCGCTACTCTTGTCGACAGATTATCTAACATAATGATGTGTTTCTAAGGTACGTGATACAAGTGTATTATAGAACTCTTCAGGTTAGTACACACGCGGAATCTTAACGGAGGTGTTTTCGCTTGTGCTCACTTCGTCGTCTTCGAATCACGGTTGTTATTTTGTTTTGTCCGTTCCATTTTCTGGCATGTTCAATTAAAAATGAAAACCAAACGTGAGTACACACATACATATATAATTATACATATTAAGCGCGTATTCATTTTTTAGTTAAAAAAATAAAAAATAAATATAAAACAAAGTTTTTTATTTAATTTATGAATTTGGTTATGAGTTTAGTATGTGTATAAATACAAATATAAGCTGTGCGGGCTATAAATAATTGGGGAAACTTTTTTTAAAAATATTTAGCGATTTTGTTACATGGAAAACAAAACAAGCTGAAATGTATTTTGCCTTAAATTTTGGATCGATAAATTACAATAAAACGAGGTGGTCATAAATTCTGTTAGGTTGCAACAATAATATTTTAATAAAACGATACCGGCAATTTAATTCATAAAACAATGTATTTAGTATTTATATACTCTGCAGAAATATTTGTACGTATAAATTTATATTATTACTTGTCATTTTGGAATGCATTCGATTTGATATGTTCTATCGTGTGATGAATACATCATAAGTTAATAAAAAATATGGTATAATTCATGAAATTTGTATACGAGTATTAAATTTATAATTAAAATTTTAATTTATTTGAGTAAAAATTTCAAGAACAGTTATTATATTTTCATATTTTTTGTACTATAAAAGGTATTCAGTATATATACATAACTATATTTTAATCTAAATTTCAAATATCACGAGCTTATAGTATTTAAAGTTAATTTGTTATGGACCATGGTGTACTTTACCAACTAGGAATTATTAAATAGTTTTCTTTTCATTTTATGTTTCATAAATATTTGTATAGAACTCATATTTATTTTAAAATATTATTGATTTACATTATAAATAATAAATTAATACATTTTAAACTTGACTTTTCGCAAGAAGTGTAGTTGCTAAATTACAAGTATATTTGCTATTAATTATATTTTACAGTTAAATTATTATTTTTTAATTACATTTACTCATTACTGTTATTTTATTTATTTTAAAATATATAAAGTTACTATAAATAAAAATGAGTAATGAGTCATAATTGGTTAATTTATAAATTGTTATCTATTTAAAGTTAAATCAATTAAAATATTTAAAAATGTTAAATTAAATACCTCAAACCTTTATAGAAACTAAATTTGTATGATTTTGTATTGAATTTTGGTTTATTTTGATCTTCAATTATATATTTTTATATTTTTATATTTTAATACATGTACTAAATATTATTATTATGTATTAATTTATATATTTCTTTGTGGTACACCATATAGTACGAGTATTTTGAATTAATTGATTTGTATTCTTTATTTAACATCGACAAAATTATATTTGAAAATACGAGATTGGATTTTGGCGTACATACTATAAAATATTTAAGTAGTATGCACTTTGTGTATCTAGTCGATAATAGTGGAGTGTAAGTAAATGTTAAATCAGATTTTTTGTTATATTTCATATACCCGTATTCATAAATATGTAACTTCATTGTTTTATCTAGTGTATACTAAAATGTATCCTAACCAACTTGTCAATTAGTTTTATTCAATGGCGGTTTTGCAGGGGAGAGGTTTGGACCCCAGGTCACGCGTTAAGGTACTGATATATTATATTTTATATGCGGATATACGCTTATACGATTATACATAAAACTAGATATTTCAACTTTATCTCTATATTTTTGAACGTTTGTTACAGGTATTGCCTATTTGGGTATTTATATTTTTCTTGAAATTAAGACGTTTTAGAATACGTATAAGATAATGTAAAACTACCCCTCCAGAAAAAATTCAAAAAGTCACCATTGGTTTTATGTAAATGTCTTAATTTTATATTTCTGCCCATCATATGGATATTGTAATAATTTTATAACTTCTATTAGGTATGCAAAACTTTGATATATATAATATGTAAGAAGACCTACTACTAGATTTAAAAAGGATAATATTTCTTAGAGTATCTCATAGCCTTATGCCTTTGGTATTATATAAATTTATACCAAATCATAAATTATAACGGTTACAAACTGTGCACATTTTTATGGTTATTATTATTCTTAAGCAATATAATATAAAAGTCTAGTAGGTATTATTAAAAAGTATTTTTCTATGTAAGCTAAATATAAGTTTTAGTCATTAGTATTATCCTTGACACCAAAATTATAGCTATGATCATTACGATATATAAAGTTATATTGCTTATAAAATAAACGGAGCAAAATAGAGGATGTACATTTTAAACCCTTTTAATTTATAACATCTACACATTTTATTTATACACTCTAAATGTTAGGTATTGACATTTTATAGATGTCTATAAATTATTTATTTATATTAAATTAATTAGCATAGAATTTATTATGGTCATTCAAAATTGTATATTGGCATATTGCTATAATGCTAAAGTTTCATTATTTTACTACAGTGATTTTCCTAAAAATGAATTTTAACTACAATTTTCGAGCAATAATTTTATATCTGTGCAAATTACGTATGTATGTGGTAATATGTTGTACTTCACGACTAAATGTTTCTGAATTTACACTGAAATCTGTGTCATAACCATCCCTAATATCGATTTATTTCCCCTGTTCACTTAATTATTGAGTAGTCGTGGATTGAAGTTTTAAGTATAAATTTGTTAAATTTTTTGCGCTTAAATTTACATCAATAAGTGTTGAATTAATGGTTCGGGTGCACAGTCTCGTTAATATATATTCGTGCATTTAAAAATCCATCTCATAAAAGTTTATTGCTTTTGGAATGTTTATACATGGACCAGGTAACCTGGTAATATGATGTTAATAACTGAGAACATCTTCTCCATTGTCATAATTGTGTCCCGATAACAGACATCTCATAACTGATGTGACCTTCGTTGGTTTGGCACATAGTTTAAAATGTTCGTTTGCATAACATCTTAATATGTACTGCTGCAATTTTAGCTTCATCGGTATTTGCCAAAAATTGATTTATTCTATTTGTATTTTCGCCAATTCTTCAGAATGACGTTGTAAAACGTTATTTTCGCACGCGGGACCAGTTTTTTTTGAACGATATATGTATATATTACAATCATTATAACCATTTCTGTCGCATAGTATAGCACACGGATAAACAAGCTAGAGCAATATTTCCGTCGAGTAATTCTCATATACACACCGTCTTCGTATGCTGTATAGTTTCCGAAATCCATTTTGAAATCAATGACTTTTTGCTCGTATAGTTAAGTTAACACAACTGTAATATTGTCACGGAGAATGTGTTGTTCGAAGGTGGTGTTGTGGTGATAATAATATTTATTTGGTCGAAATAGTTTTCTTCGCCGTCGTTGTTACCGGGCCGAGTGAAATCCTCAAAAAACCGGATTTGCAAGAGCAAAAGTAATAATTATTTTTCGTCGCACGCGCGGATATCGGAGGTCGCGCCGAAGTGGATGCGCCGCAATTCCGGTATACACGCTGACCGTTGCCGGTTGTGGACATCTTGTATAACGCGTTTCTTACACGGGATAATCTAACCCGAGGGAAGGATCAACCGGGATCTGTGAGTAGAAATCGGGGAAATGTATTCTTCACGGGATGTCACCGTCGCGGTCGTTGGCAAATATTTGCGAGCAATGCAATTAGAACAGTGACGGAAGGAAAACGAGGAACGTCACACGGAACATGCACGATCAAGTCGTTTTATAAAATATTGGAGAGGACAAAAATGTCGGCGAACGATCAATATGATTTACGATTGTTGTCTAAAATAAAACACGTAAAAAGTCGTGCCCGAACCGGTCGAATTGAAATGTTGTTTTTATTTTAAAGAGTATTCGTTGGTTAGGTTAGGGGAGCCGATCAAACGAATCCGTCCGCACGATTTTTACGGCGACGGAACATTGAACACGATGACATTTGCTAATCGAAATAAACACTCGCGGAACAATCTAATCCATCTGTTATTCGAAATGACCTATAATAAATTACAGCAGCATACGTATATATATATATATATATATATATATATATATATTACTGCACGAGCAGTAGATCGGTGCGGAGGGGATTTTCGCGTTCACCGAATTTTATAATACGCGTATTATCGTTTCGGGCGCTCGTGAAAGAAACGTGAAAACGAACTACAACTGTTATTATTATTATTATTGTTATTGTTATCTGTTATCTGTTGTTGTTGTGTTGACGCGTGGACGTGGACGCCTTCGCACGAAGACGGTGACGACGAGAACGGTCGTGAAGACGATGGAGACGATCGACTGCGGCGGTATTCCGACGACTGACGACGGCCTTGACTCAGTAATATCATTTCGTGACCGTCGAGACGGGCAAAAGGCGAAAGTGTTGAAACGTAAAAATATAAACAAACGACGTGCCCCGTACGCGTTTTCAAGTCACACGGGACCCGTATAGCGACGTTCGCACAATGCGTACACACGACGCATATATAACGAAATATATTCACGATCACTTAGTGAATCACATCGCGTAACCCGATTCACGTGTTTCGCGTTCTTCGCTCGGGGACGATCTTATTATCGTAACGGTTCGCTGTCACAGCTCGTGGTCCATCACGTGTCTGTTCGCATTTAACCTGTTGCTAGTGTTTTTTTTTTTTTTTTTTTTTATATAATGATATTTTTCAATATTTATAGTTGAATTTTTCGCATGTCACGTTCAAAATAATTGGCGGCAAGACGTACCGGTCGGGTTTAGATTTCAATCGTAACCGGGTTTTACTGTTTTCGATTGGTTTTGATCGCGCGAAATCGATTCACATTCGAAATCAATCACTTCAGGTTCGTATATAATGTTGAATCGTATTATTTTTATTGTTTATGATAAACATTAAACAAGTAAACAGATCATATTCGTTTCGCCAAAGGGTTTTAAATATTTTCTTGGGAAAAAAAAAAAAAAACATGATTTATTGAGATATCTGATCGACGCAATCGAAGATGTTAAATTCTCAAGGTATACAAACACTAGTATTGTTATAGGTGTATAATGTAATATGAAGTCGTCGTTCCAGAAAATGATTTTATTGCGAGTACAATAAAAGTATAGATGTGTAATAAAACTGAAAAAATAACTATAGAATAAAATAGTTTAGAGCTATTGCCTTGTAAACACGAGTCATAAATTTATTTATTTTGCATAACACATATCGGCTTATTTAAGATAGAGAAGCGCTAATTATGTACTATAATTTAAACAATAATAAATTAGACGAACGAAAAATTATAACAATAAATAGGTATTAGATAAATTTAAAACTTAAAATTACAATGACATAACAACTTTTGAAATGTGACAAAACTCTATTCTAATTGTAATGGTAACTGGGTCCAGGAACTTTATCGCTCATTAAAGTGTTGTTTCAAGGCTGTTTCGATTGCCTCTGTTTTAGCTTCATGTAATTTTGGTATTCCTCCTTCAAATCTAAATAAACTAATTGATTGGACATACTTCCACAATGTGCTTAGTAGTTTGTTCGATTCTACAAGAGCATAGAGAGAATTGTTCCATTCCCAATTTATGTAGTAAGTTTATACTTCTGCCTTGCTCGGTTCTTATTCTGTTCAAGATTGACCATAACTTCCGAAGGAGATCAAAACTCGGGATTCATGTTTCTGGAATTTTTATCAAGGTAACCCCAAGGCACACCTGAGTCTTTCCATCGTGTTTTTCATTTTATCGATAAAGCTTCTACTGGAAATGTAATATTGGATGTTTCGACTTAAGCCTCTTGTGTGGGTATGTAATAATATCTTTATATAATAGTAGTTACGAATTTCTTTTAATCTTGTCCACTGTGCGTTCTGCATGCATCAGTCTTTGCATATTCAGTGGAACTACTATATTTGCCAACACCGGCAACCGTTGTACTTGGATTGTTCTTATCGTGCCTGTTATAATTCGCATCGTTTGGTTGAGCTCCGTGCCCACCTTCTTGCAGTATAAACTCCTAAACCACACTGGAGCACAGTACTCAGCTACACAGTATACCAGGACTAATATTTTATAGTGCCTAAATAATGGGTTTAAGTTCTAAAGACTTAAATTTAGAATATAGATTCCCATTTGTCTTTATTATTTCATTATTTATGTTATAAAGTTTTTATAGTTAGGTAAACTTATCGCTTGTATATTTTACAGTTTAGAAGATAGATATTTTATAAGAAATGTTATTTATTATTAGCACAAGTAGTGATTAAAAGTTTTTTTAAAATAAAATTATTATTGTAGTAATTTTATAATAGTTCTTTCACTTTGTTAATAATTCAAATAAGTTATTTTATAATAATAACTTAAGTAGTTATAACCCAATATATCAGTTTAAAACCATAAATACTTTACGAAAAATATTCATTAATACTTGTGTTATTATATTTATAACTTATAACTTATAACTTATAACTATTAACTGGAGAATGAGTAGATTCAAGCCATAAAAATACAAATATAGATTTGGTAAAAATAGTTACATTTCTTTGATTAAAAATTTATTGTTTGAGCTAAATTTACTACTAAATATCGTTGAATGTATTGAAAAAATTTCAATTAATTTTTACAGACCAACAACTACATTAAAATAAAACATGTTCATATCAGTGAAGTAGTTTTTCTGTTTTTTTATAATAAATTACTAAATAATTAGCATGATTATTTTATTTAAACTAATGTTTTTAAAATTTTTATTTCATTACATGATATATTTTTTAATATTTTTTTTTTCTGGTAAATATAATAATGAAATTATCTGCGGTATAAAGGCAAATAAAGATATTATTTTCACAAAAGATCAATTTTATAAATTAATGTGTCAAAAGAGATAGCATTTCATTGAAACTAGTACGTATATGATTCATTAGTTAAATATTGATATAAGACTTTTGAATTAGGAAAACTATCATTTTTAATCCTAAATATGGTATATTAAATAGTATGATTTGCATAACATTCAATGTAAAATAAAAAAAATATCTAAAATGAAAGACTATGTCTAGAAATTCTGAGATTAATAGGTATGCATATATTATTATTATAGCCATTAAGAGAAAAATTATGTGCTCTGATCATTATAACCATAATAGATTTCTGATAGAACATGTTGTCTAGAGGGTAATTTGAAAGAGGGTTAGGTTCAGTTTACAAATTTTCTATCAGCTTTCTTTATTACTGTAAAAAACTGATGAAAAGTTATAAAAAACAGTAACACGCTCGTTTTCAAGAAAATATAATTTTTTTTTTCGTAACTCAAAAAATAACAATAATTTGCTACATTTTTATAACATAAAAGCATATAATTTTCAGTTTTTATAATAATATTTTTGTAATGATCACATAAAAATGTATCGAATGTTAAATTATACGACCTTCTGTTTTGATAATATCAAGTTTTCAGAGTGCAAATGCAATGAAGTCCGAAATAATTAAATACAAGGTCTAAAAATTAATTTTTTTAAAAAAAAAAAGTAATTATATGTTTATTCAATGTATCTTAATAATAATGAATACATTATATATGTATACATACACTTATTTGTGTAAAGGAACTTTAGATTTTCAAAGTTGTGTATGGTCACTAGAATTGTAATTTAATAACTTATAATATTGAATGACTTATGAAGAATTATGAATTAAAACAATAAAAAACCTTTTTGCATTTGTTCAAAGAAATGATTACATTTTTACTATTTAATTATGATATAAATAAAATATAAACATAAGATTACTGTTTTGTGTTACATGAAATAACATATGATACCAAGATACCAAGGTAATTACATTAAAATAATTCGACCACGTAGAAAATAAATACATTACCATAAAAATATTAATGTTTTATTTATGACCTGAGGTCATTTGATTTTACAAGATTTAATTTTTAATTTCAGATTGCAGTATGCCTCGGAAAAATAATAATTAACTTTTACATTTTACAATAATAATAGATAATTTATTTTGATCATCTACAACAATAAATACTATTTTTTAATATTAATTTTTCATTATATTCAGCAATACTAATATAATGACAGGTAAATAAAACAAATAAACACTTTTTAAGAAAATCCGTTTATAACGAATTTATTTTACCCTGTCAAGATGGGTATTCTGTATTTAATCTATGCACCTATTTTCAATTAATACAATTTCTGGATATATTGAAGAATATAAACTCAAATTTTTTTTTTTTTTTTAGATAAACGAGTAAAAAAATCTTTAACTTTCCCAGTCTTACATGATTCATTTTTAAATTAACATAAAACATTTCTAGCTCTGCAATTTATGTGATTAAATTTACTAAACATTTGATTATTTGTATATATTTGAATACATATCATTCACTTATTTTTTGAATATATTTTTTATTCTATAAAGTAATATATTAACATAAAATATGTATATAATTATCAATATTGTTCGTGGATCTTCTAATTGTTGAATAATTCATACATTAAGATGGTCTCTTTTATATGTTTACCCTCAGATATTGTTATACTGGATCAAATATTAAAAGAAAGTTGGTTTAATAGGAGGGGCTAATTTAAATAGTATTACTACATTTTAGCATGTATTTTGTCGTTAATTATTTAAACACAATTAGAAAGTTAGTAAATAAAAAAAAAAAAAAAACCTACCAATACCCTTGAAGTATTTAAATTTGATAAAATAATAGTGCAGAGAAAGTATAATATATCAATATATAATTATAATTCATTTTAAAATCATTAATTATCATTAATTATGTATAATTTTCTATTTTGGTGTTGATTAATATTATTTTAATATGTTAGTACAAGTGTAAATAATTTTAAATTTTTATTGAATTAAAAGAATAATTATTTTTTAGATACTATTTTGGTAGCTTTTCTAGTGTCAATATTGATATATTCATCTAAGTTTTATTTAAGTTTATATAATTAATCGCAAATGAGAAAACATGGATAAATTTCCAAAATTGATAAAATAAAGATTCATAAATGAAGTTAGAATTTTTTTTTGGTATAATGAAAATGTATATAATTTTAGTTTAACACTAATTTGAGAAAATGTTTGAACTTACGTAATTTAAGACAAAAAGTTTTTTTCCGGTTAAGTTTGATTGAAAGTGTTGAAACACGAAAGAAAATTGTACACAAAGACTTACTTAAAACCTTACGAAAATATCATGAAAAATATTTTTATAATTTCATCATAGTATTGGGACTATTTATTCTTATTATTTTATAATTTTATCTAATTATTAAGTTTAACAAAACACAAGTTATAAAAATTCGTAATTTTTGATGGGGTTTTTTTAGTCATTCAATTATTGTAAAATGTTCTTTTCCGTATTAATATAAATAGTTTAATAATTAGTTCTTACAGAAAACTAACTTATGAAAATAAAGTATCTATATTTGTTATAAACACATTACCTTAAAGTTTTCACTCGCGCTTATATAATACATTTTTGTAATAGTTATATTAAAGGTTAACAATGAAAAAAATCAAATAATTTTTAATATTATTTATGCTTTATAGTGAATATCTATGCATATTGATACATATATATAAAATTAGTATACTGAAAATTATTATAATATTATCATTGATTTTATGTATGGTTTGATATTTATTTTAATTTTTTTTAATTAAAAAAAAATATAAATATTTAAAATTAATTATGTATTTTATGATACTCCAATATTAGAAATGAAAAAACCCAAATCGAAATTACGCGTTTTTGGATGCGTAACTAATCAATAAAAAATAATCCTATAACCTGTTAATCACTTTTGGGCTTTTAGAATACCTTTGTTTGTTCTACTAATATTGATTCTTGAACGTGCTATTAAATATTGTTTTAATTCCATTTTTTTTTTTTTTTTTTTTACCTTTCCAAACGTTTATTTTCGATTATATAATATTGTGGTATACAGAAATGATATATTCAACAATGTACAATAACTCTCAATTGTTTGCAGATGGTTAGCGAGTGGTGGGCGCTGGTGTTGATGTTGTCTGTAGCCTACGGACACGCGCCTTGTCAACATTCATACGGCGGGTGTAGATCCAATGAGCCCTTCGTGCCCGCGCCCGTCGGCCAAGTCCCCAGGTGCGTTCAGAATTATCATGATGACGTCACATTTTGTGAAACTATCGACAGATATCCAGAGTAAGCGTTGCCAAAAACATGTATACGTATATTCGATATTGAATGCAAGGATAGTAAAACATTTAATAATATTGCTTAAATATTGCAGTGTCTAAGATCTCGTATAATATTAAAAAAAACAATTAAAATGTTAATGATTAACAATAACACTTAAACGCTTCCTTTGTTACACAAAAGATTTTGTTGTTTAATTGAAAATTTTTTAATAAATATATAATAGGCATAAAATATATTTATATTTTATACGGAAAACTAAAATATTTTGTTGCAGACGATTGATAACTTACCTGGTCACGAAAGCGGATAAAAACTTTAAAACTTTTTTCAACGAAGAAAAACTTGTCGACAGACCTTACCACCAAAAGTAACTATGGATCGATGTAACTTTGTAACAACTAATAAAATAAAGTTTTAAAATATACAACGTGTTTCAATTTTGAACATTTGATGTTTGATTTCTGCAGTCAAAATATAAATAATAATCATGAAGCATATGGAAATTACTACGATTACCAAAATGATACTCAAAATGAATTTGCTGGGTACCCGGATAGGACATACGTTCTACCACAAATATCCCTCACTGAATCTCCACCTATAGAGAAAAATCGACCACTTATACCCAAGTAAAGCATTGATATACGATTCATTAGGAAACGAAAAAACAGTTTACTATTTAGTCGCGCAGAAAATATTATTTATTTAGTTTTTATAAATATTTTTATAATAAAATACAGTTATTAAGTAACGGATTGATTGCATTTTTTAAGCACCAATCATGGAGGTGGTTATAACAGAAAAAAAAGGCAAGAGGATATTCAATTATGCCAAGTTAAAATCAATAATATATTTCCTAAAGCAGCTTTAAACACCCAAGGTGAATGGAAATACGTAGCTAATATGGTACGGACAGAATCTGATATGTATACACAATCCATTAGATCCGAAATTTGTGCGTAAGTAAAATATTTGTAAATTATTTTGAAACTGTACTATTAGTATGCAACCGTTAAGATCCATACTCAAATGTATTATTGCTTGCCTATTAACAACGCCGTTTAAATATTTTCAACAATTGTAATACATCCAACATTATTTACTATTATTGAAAACTTAATTTAATCAACCTAATAATCTATTAGAAGTATTTAATAAAATGTAATGGAAATTATAAAATTTAAATGGCATACTCTATGTATAATTTAATAAATTATAATATATAATAATATAATTTATGAGTGGTATCTATCATGATAGATATTATAAAATAATTATATTATATAATAATTATGAATAATTGTATTTGGAATAAACTGAAATGCTTAACCTCGCTAAAATACAGTAAAATATGCCTTAAGCAGTAACACTGATTTTTTTTTTTTTTATGAAAATCTACTACATTAATTATTTAGATACATTCTGAATGAAGTCTGAGAAAAATAAGTACGAATTTAAAATGTAATAAGTAATAATAATTAATATAATACAGTCATCACATAAAGGTTTATATAGGCACTAAATTATAAATAAAAAATAGTATTACAGTAAGTCATAAAAGTTTTGTTCGTTTTAATAAAACTACAAAATCTTCCCTGGAGATATAATACTGTGATGTTTTATATGAACATTTCTGTAAAATTGTACTTCTTAGATCATAAACAGGATATAATTATACTAATATGGTAATATAGTAATAAGTATAAGAAAACCAATGTTAAAAGTAAATAATATGTAAAATTGTAAACTAATTAAGTTTAATAAGGTCTTAGTTTTAAAGAAACTATCAATATTTAACCGTACTAAAAAAACAGGGAAAATTATATTTTTAATTTGTTCACCTGTAAAACGTAAAACTTAAAAATAATTGTTTGGTACTTTTATATAGGATTCCCTCACTATTAAATATGCTCCATCATTTTTTTATAATTATGGAAATGATCTTCGTTTATAGAGTAACTAACGTCGATGGAGCTAAAACGAATGAATAATATTATTATGAGTTAACATATAATAATAACAAGTGAAGTGATTTTAATTTTACGGCAAAGTTATTAATTTTTCTATTTAGTTTAATATTTAAAACTGTTTATTCAAGATAAGTCTTAACTTAATAGTTTTTAAAAGTATTGAAATCAAAAAACTAAGATGACACCTATAATTTAAATAGGGATTTATTGATACCTAATATTAAATCTAGGTAAAGCTAATTTAAGTAACGCTGCTTAATGAGTATTTTCGAAAATCATAGGTATATACAAAAGCAGTAAAAAGCAAAAATAAATGTTTTAATCATTATTATGTTTCAAAAATATCACTGAACAATTGTTTGTTTTTATATAACTGAGGTAGACATTTTTAAATGATTCAGCAGTTAATAATAAATATGATCAATACAAATATAACTGTCTTATTTTGGATTGTAAATTATAACTTACATGTATGGGTGGTAAAGGTCATAGAAAGAGAATGACTGTAATAAACCATGTAGGTAGTAGCATTGATTATAAATATTAGTATAGTATTTATAATCAATGGTAGTAGGTAAACGCCGTCGTTTTTTTTATGATAATATAATCAGTGAATGTTACTTTTATTTGACTGTAATCACCACAATTTGAATAGTATCTGAATAATTGGTATAATGTTAAAATGTATTGTTTTTAGTGAAGCAGATCAGCCGTGCAACGGAATCTGCGAAACACCGCTTGGTTTCAGCACGTCGTGTAAACAGAAATTCGTTCAAAAACGGTTGGTAGCATTGCAAGGGACCGGAGATAATTTGTACGTGGACGTTTTTTGGTTTCCACATTGCTGCTCCTGTACCATAGCCAGAGTAGAACTATAGTGATGATATATATGTAATCCTACTATTTTTTACGTTTTTGCAACTGGTATTTTCCTCCTAGAAAAAAAAATTCTGTTTAAAAATATAATACCCTCTATTGTGTTAGACAAACCATTATTATACACGTATTTAATATAATATATTTAAGTCCACTGTGTCGAGAGTTAACATGTTTATCATAATTCATAATAGTATATAATATTATATTAAGCATTCGATATTTAACTGTACAGTCACGGAGTATTCAAATGATGTTATAATATTTACTCATTGTTATTTCAACCGTAATTAAACATTTTATGTATTATTTACGACTTGTATTTTTTTCAAACAGTTATTTTTAATGTTTCATTTTGTAATTTATAACACGATATTACAAATATTTTTTAGTGCTTTTAACGTTGATGATTATGTAAAAATTATATTTTAGAAGTATACAATTATTAGATTTTAAATAAACGTTTTAAACGTTCTAATATACTTTGATACTTAATATAATATAATAAGTAACACACAACGTTCACTTTCTTTCGAATAATTTTATTAATATGTTATAGGATTTCAAATTACATTGTTACTGTTCGATGCTATTTAAGATGCGATTGATGAGAATACCGCATTAATTGATTAATGTGCTAAATAATTGTACACGCGAACAATGCATTAGCATAAAATATACTAATTCTGAATCAAAATAGTAATTATTAAATATAACTTCGATACCATTATATGTATGTATATAATACAGTATTACAAAAATTAATACTGTTCAAATGTACTTAACGATTTGATAGAAACAACAATTAGATTTAAACTAAAATGGATTAATTATATTTTTAATAATAAAATTATTAAAATATAGGTTCTTTACTTAGAAATACGAAATTCCAAGTGATATCTATGTTAGAAATCATCTTAGGTATTTATAACTTCGAATTATTGATGTAGAGGAACAGGTGTTTTATCGGTCTCTTAAGAGACCATATGACAATGCAAGAGACATATTCTGTATAAAATCCAATTTACACCAATAGGTACCGATATCGTAATAGATTTAATTTTTATTTACCGGAATTTGGGAAAACATTTCAAAAATCGATTTAAATAATTTGGTGGAAATATAAAATGTCAAATATGATTTATACATGCAGCTTATCGTTACTTGTAGTAAAAAGCCATAATTAAGTAATGATTATAAATTATTGAAAAAGTTACTTACATCATTTTAAAACTTTGAAATCGTTAATTAATTTAAGGAAACGTCGAATGCCGTTGTTTTAATAATTAATTAGTATATGAAATTTGTGTATTTCTTTGAAACTTGATATAGGAGCGTGAAATTTATGTTTAAAAAATTGGCATCGAAGTACAAATGGTAAAAAATATCAAGTAAAGCATCACATCATTGTTAATTCTTTGAACAAACAATTTTTTGAACATTATTAGAGATGGTGGTAACCGATTTGCATGTTTTGCGAAGCCAAGAAAAAAGTCGGTTATTTTTTACTGGTAAGTCTAGGGCATAATAAATAGTTGGTCTGTTTCAAATCAAGTCCGTTTCGGTACAATTGTTTCGCCATGTATACACAATCGTATGAATTATACTAATTTAATTTTCCCTTTACCATTTTTAGTTGTTTATAATACCGTTCAATCGAGAGTAACGAGTCACAGACCATAGCAAAATTACAATATGATATTAAATAGTTTTCCAAAACATTACTAGTGAGTAACAATGACAATAATAGTGGTGGAGTGTAAATATTTAAAATTTAAAATTATTACACAAAAAATCAGTTTCTACTGTAACAACGGTTAGTTAGTTATCGTAACTGACGACGCATAGTAAAAAAAAAAAAAACTGTATAAAAGCGTAAAAGCGCGATTAACGTAGATCATTGCTAACAAAGTTTGGGCGCATAAACCGAACGAACGCGTAAAAATAAATAATTCGCTCAATCAATCAATCGTATAAACTTTGCACAGCGCGAGTCGCATCAATATAATAGCGTGCGGCTGTGCGGCCGACGGAGCGTAATTAAATTAGTGGCTTACACAATTAAAGGACAAATGAATACGGACAGAAGGACATAAATAATTTCGGTACGTACACATATGCATGTATGGTACACGGCACTAAATGCGACGGCAAATATCACCCCTGCGCGTATTATACGTATACGTTGTGCATAATACGCAGTTCATGCTGTAAATCACGTTACGAATTTTTCACGGGAAATTCGAAAAAACGCGTTCGGCGCAAATGTGGCTGCCGTCCACTATGTACCCGTGTGCAGTAAATATATATATATATATACAGCTGTACATTGTACAACCGTGTACGCTGTATACGATAATATAACGTTACACATAATACATATACATATATATATATATATATACCTATACGGACACGGGGAGAAGGACGACGTTTGGACGAATACCCCTCGGCCGGCGGTGGTTTATCGATACAATTTAATGTAAAACGCGCGTACTCGGATTCTCGTTGAATTCAATGACTCATAGCAATTATTGTTCCGAATAATACGTCCGGACGTTGAGATGAAAAAAAATAAATATATATGTTGACGAATAATCGAAATCGTAGGTCGATCAAAATAAAAAAAAACCCCGTATCTAGCCGAAAACGTAGGTGTATAAAACTATAATAATAACGTGTACAACGTGCTGTCCGTAAACTGATTTATTTCCTTTTTTCGATTTACGCACGTTGAATCAATTGAAATTGTAAATGAAATTCAATGTGATGAACGACACATTTTTAAAACTAACATTCATGGCTTAGATTTTCTACTAGACACCTAATCCTAGTAGATATTACTTATAATTTGAATAGCTGTATAGTAAAACATAAAATATTTTCTGCGCTCGACTGCAATTCTCCGTTCATTTGAAAAAAAGTACACGATAAATATGACATTCATTCAAAAATTGATTTATCATTTGGTCAAATAAGCTGTTGAAAACTATTAGTTAAATGATAAACCAAAGTGATATTGAGCTATTAAGACATTTATAATTTTCATCTTAATAAACCAACCCGATAGTTTCATATTTCTTATATAATATATGGTACCTACTCTAAATATAATTCAGTTTTTTTCATATTACTTTCATTAAAAAAGACAACTCACCAGAAATACATTTTTAAAAAGATTTTTCTTTTAACTCCAGAATGTTGCCTTGAAATTGTTAAGAAAATGATGTAACATAATTTTTTATATGTACCAATATAAAATTAAAATACATAATACTGTTATAATATTTATAATATTAACGGCAAATTAATTTGATGTATACATTTTATTATATAGTTTGTAAATTTTATTATTCATTTTTATGAAAATTTAGAGTGTTGTAAATATCAAGTGTCCAATAATTTATAAAATAAATAGTTAACGGATTTTGATGGAAATTTCTTCAATTGCTTAAAAAATATAATTAGTATTTTTTAATTTAAATTGTATTATTTGTAAATTAACTTTAAATTATTTTATATTATAAATTAAATATAGAGTTACGATTTATAAGAAATAGTAATATTCAACATTTGCCATTAATTTAATGGTTGTATTATTCATTAATTTAATTTATACGAAACATTAATAAATATAAGCGGTAAAAAACTATTATGATTACATATTAATATACAATGCCATAAGTCAACAATTATTTCACATTTAATTGAAATTGATCAGTAATGTAGAAGTGTACAAACTATTAAAATTCAAATAATATGTCCAATTCTAACTGGAAAACATAATTGTCATAAGCGTAAATTGGGCTCAATTTATGGTGATGCAGCCGTATATTCTCAGTCCATAATTTTCATCACACCAATAATTCTTAGTAAATACCTTCCTTATAAACTATATATATATATTTATAATTATTTTAACAGTAGAACCTTTCTTATTGTAATATTACAAAAAAAAAAAATCAAACATTTTTTATTTTTTATTTTAAATTGAGATAAAGTCCTCTTTCGACAGATGATGGACCAAATTCATCAATCACTCGGTCCAAATTAATGTTATTTTTTTTTTTTTTTAGTTGTGAAGTAGCTAAACTACTAAGCCTTTCTTTGCCCATTATCGTTCTTATATATTTTTTTAACCTCTTTAGACAGGAAAAGGATTTTTCACAGCTTGCTCTATTAGTTAGTATCGTTAGGAATATTTTAATGACTCTGTTATTTATTAAAAGCCTTTTTGAATGTCCTTCTTTCTATTATATTCTATTTTTGATTCTAATTTGTCAGATACTGAATTAATTCCATATTTTTCATTAAACATTCTATTGAAAATTCTCAACTCTGTCAACTCTGTAAGTAATTTATATTAAAGTTATATGTGCTACAAACTATTTTTAATAGATCTTCAGATAAATCTTCAGACTTAATTATTTCATTTAATCTATTTAAGTTATCCATTTAATTTTTTTCAAATCGATTTTCAAATTCTTGTGTAATGACATCAAAAACTTTAAGGTATACGGTAATACGATGGTTGTTCTTTATCTTAAATACTATTCGGCTGTTTACCACCATCTAACTTAAAAGGAATATTTTTCTTTCTTTTTATTTTAGGATGCTCAAAAGTTAATAATTGGAGACTGCAAATATTTTGATAAAATGTAAGTTTGTTGGAATACATTTTTTTAAAATAACAAACAAATTATAAATTCAAAATGTCATAGATTATTCATCAAACTTTTGGTTTCAGTTTATGAATTTATATCATAATCATATATGTAACATATCAATGGTCTCATTAAAGTTTAAATAAACAGATTTCAATACATCAGTCCTGCAACTCCATCTGATTTCACATAACTTTTTTAAGATTTTTAGTCCATTTATCTTAGATGCTTTTGAACACAAAAAAATCATGAGTTTCATTGCGTTAATAAAATTGGGTTAGAATTACTAAAGTATATATTACAATTATCCTAATATTTTATATAAATAAATAAATAAATGCTTAGCCTGAAGTATTATTAAATTTGTAAAGTGCAAACGGTTTCGAATTAAAAATATAAAATAACAATCCGGACTAAGGCA